TTGTCGTAATTTTTAGCTCATGCAGAAAAATATTTAAAGAGTAATTTTACATTTGGTTTAGTCCATTTCAGAATTTTTTGAAATTTATATGTCCTATAATGGGCATTGAGCTGATTACGGTAAAAATAATTTTAAAATTTTTGTAGAATATTTTTGTTTCATAATATAATTTTTTTAGTCCATTTCAGAATTTTTTAGAATTTTTTAAATTTATATACAATAAAAGTGGTTTTGTGGATAAAAAATACACTACCAAAAATGTTTAATTATTTTTCCCGCGACAAGCTCAAAATTACGAAAATTTTGACAGCCAATTCGAAAAGATTCTAAAAAAATTTTTTCAACATATTGTACTGGGATTAAGTTTTTCAATCGTAGGTAGGGAACTGAGGACCTTTTCAAAAAAATTGTTTTTTATTTTTCCCGTATTAAGTACATTGAAACGCATCGTTTTAGAGGTAGTTCTCCTAATAAGTGTTCCGCGGGACACACTAATGTACATACATATTTATTTTTATTTATACCTAAAATGTATTTTAACTGAATAACAAATATCAATGTCATACCATAAAAAAGAATATAATATGTTCGATAATAATTGTTATAAACTGAACTCATTAATTTTGTTTTATTAAAATTGTTTGCCTTCTTCCAGTCATGGCAAAATTTTGTTAGGATGAACTAAATAAAAATATATTTTTTTGCATGAAAAATATGTGTTGAAAGGCCAAACACTAACTGACAGATATGTAGTACATATAAAAACCAAAAAAAAATATATTGCCATAATTTAGGCGTTAATCATCTGTTTCATTTAAATTTTATTGTAAAAACTTACATATATGACGCATTTCTCAAGTTTCAAAAATTTTTGAGAATCCGAAGTTAACGTCATGAAATGGATAAAATGGGATATATATAAGTTAGTTTATTTAAGAAATTGGTGTTGGTGCTGGATTTTAAATGGCCCTTGATTCAACAAAAATATTAAATTTTATTAGGATTTTCTCACTGCCATGTCATTAGATGAAGTGTATTTACGAAAAATCATTCGTCTATTCTTTAAACAGAATCAATAAAAATTATTTACGGTTTAATAAAAGAACGATTTAAAAAAGTTTTAATTTTGATATTACATCTGAATTTAACAATTTAATATAATTTAATGCGGAACTCTCATGAGGGCAATCGATGACTACAAGGCTCTTCAGTTTCCTATAATCGATTAAAAATTATGATCAAAATCATTTTGTCCAAAACAGTTTCTAAAATTTTTCTCAAAATGAGTGTCAAATATTCGCTAGTATGAGCTCATTGCATACAAATTATTATATTTTTTATAATGGCTTTACGAAATAACGAAATTTTTGGCACCTATTACCAAAAAAAAACTAATTTTATATTTTATCGTAATTCGCAAAAAGCAATTTTGGGAACCAAAAATGCTCTAAAAAGTTTTAGAATTACTTTTTTGTAATAAACACTAACTTAGGAAATTATTAATAGCCATTTTAATAAGATTTAACAAACTTTTTTGACAAGTTATACTGAGATCACAGGTTTCAACCGGACTGTTTCAAAAAAATATTTTTTCCTGTAGTACAGCAATACGAATCGCTTACATATGTATGTATATGTGTATGCATTACGTTTATATATTCCATAAATACTCAAATGTATACAAAGTATTTTAATGGGGAAGAAACGAATAAACCCCTCCAAATAACTTCAATTAAATAATTGCAAAACAAATTTGTATGACTTTTTATATTTTTTGTTTATACTTTTAATTTTTTTTATTATTTATTCGATGTATGTATATAAATTTGTGAAATTTATTTTATTTTAATTTTGTTCATTCATAATTACAATTTTTTACAATGCTGCATTCAACAATTTTTTGTTTTTCTTTTATCAATAAATAATAAATATAAATAATTGCATGTTTGTATATATGTATAAGTTTTTTTTTTTTATTTTATTATTATTTTTTCTTGTTGTTTTACTGAATAATACTACTCAACTAAGTAGTTACGATTTTGTTTAAACGTCAAACATAAATAAAATTAAAAAATGAAGTGTGTTAAAAAGAGGGTTAAAAATAATGAATCAAAAATAACTTATAACAAATACATTTCAAAAACGTTGATGTATCGTGAGTTGTGTTTAGTACATATGTATGTATATATGTATGTACCCTTCATCACTTCAAAATAATTTTCAAAATCACTTTATTTTTCATTGCAGTTCGTTTTATGATTTTGTTTTTTAATTTAAATAATAAACAGCAGGTGAATTGAAATCAACATATGTATTGTTTGACTGTAATCTTTTAAAAGTTTCAATTTTCTTGTACTGTGATGAAGGGCATATAAACAAAATTCAATTATGATGAATTCAATATCTATTTAGGGTGTTAAAGTTGCGGTGAACTTTTTGTTGTAGTGAGTGCGTAGGATGATAATGATGATGATTAATTTTAATTAATTTATTTTAATAATAGTTTTTTTGCTAAAAGTGTTTGCTTTTTTATACAATTGCTTAGAATTTACATGTTGATTTTAAAAAATTTTCGTTGTTTTTCATATTGCTAATAGTTAAAAGAGATTCTCATATTTCTATTTGAAATTTGATTGACTTATAAATACGTTTTATTGCTTTTTGATACGTTCGGCTATATTTCTCTATCATAGAACTGGTCGAAAAAGTTTTTTTTTCATATTATCATTAGCAATTTTACGATTACCTCTCGATAATAAGGACCTTATATTGTATAACCTAATTATTTGTTGAGCATTACTAATTGGTTTAATTTTTTTGCTAAAAAGTCATTAACAGGAAATTTCATTTTAAAATTATTACTAGTTTCTCTTTGTAATTATTGCTTGTTTGTTTAATTGCTTTTAAAATTCGTTGTTAATATAATTCGTTGCAGGTTAAAAATACTTATTTAATTCGTTGTAACAATTTTTATCACATTATTAATCATGGGCATTTTTGGATTGATCGTAACAATAAATTTCGGTGTTCATATAGACTATTTCAATTTCGATTCGTCCATTTAATCTTACTCATCTTAATAATTAAGCTTTAATTTTAGATTTGATCAGTAACAAATTACGTTCCTAAAAAAACTGTCCCGCCCAGTCAATGCCGTTCTGCCGTAGAACGCACTTATATTCTAAGTTTTGTAATTATTTATTTTAATAGTTTATTCGTTTTTATTTTTTAATGTTATGTTAAGAATTTGACTTAATCATTATTTTAGGTACTTTTTTCTTTAATTAATCGAATTTTTATTAAATCAAAAGAAGAAAAAATAATTTAAGTTGAATCTGGCAACTAAATCAAACTTTTAATTTATAGTTTAGAATTTTTGACTCCATTTTTTGATCAGCCTGAAAAAGCGATTTTTAGTGAAAAAGCCTTCTTCACACATACATACATATATAGCATGTATTGCTTCTAGATTAAACTAAAGTTGTCTTCAAGAAGTTGTAAAATCAAATAAATTTTGTTCCTTTCACCGCACTTAAAGAAATATTAAAATTTTCAAGTTTTTGCAAGGTGAAAAAACAAGCAAAAATTGGTTTCGCTGGCTTTTTAAATTTGGCCAAATTAAAATTAAAACATTAAACCTCATTCTTCATAAATAACATTTTATTTTATAAACGGTTTATAAATCAAATTTTGTATGTAAATTTTGTTTTATAAACCTTTTATAAATTAAAAATATTTATGAAAAATATGAATAAATTATATAATAAAAAAACGTTAGAATTATACATATAAAAATATTGCATTCTAGAATCTGCAAATTTTTTCTCTAATTTGTATAAACATGCGGAATTTATTTTAACTCTTTGGCAATCATTTAATTATATTTTGGAATGATGGGTTCTCTATTTTTGAATTTACAAAAAAGTGAAGATTTCTGTTAATAATATAGCTTAGCAAAATTTATCGCTCTTTTGCTTTATTTATGTTTTATTATTAATTATTTAAGGTTAATATCTCTCAATTCAATAGAAGTATGTAATATTTCATCTATAAAATAAAATAGAACCCAGCTAAAACTTGGTAATGACTTGTAAGCACTCAAAAAATTTTTTATTTACACAATAACAAATACTATATCTCAAGTTCGTACCCGTAAGTCCATATTTGTTAGCGAGCACTCTAATAAAATGAGTTAAAATGCCGTGTGTAAGTAGTGAAAACTGGATTTATCCTCTTTTTAACTCAATGAAATTTTTGCTGGGTATTTAACCGTTCAAGACGAAATAACATGAAATAAACCATGAAAAAATTATTGAAAAATAATATTTTTCCAAATAATTGTCATAAAGTTTAAAAATAAACCCCGTCATGATGGATTCAACGTTGGCTTTCACGGGAACATTCAAAAGAAAAAGAAAGTATTTTCTTTCGATGAAAAATAATAAAATGCTGAGAAAACTAATAATCAAATAAAACAAAATGGTGTTTTTTTTTCAATTTTTTTGTGTTCATAATTATTCAGTATGTATTTTTATATATAATAATCATTTGTTTATATTTTTTGTGTGTTACTCTTAAGTCAATAACTATTAAATTTTTAAATAAATACATGTGTGTCTACAATAATATTATTAATAATTATAAATGTATATAAATGTTTTTACGCAAATTTAGTGGTTTCTATTGTATATTTTTGTTCATTTGTAATGAATAATAATTTATGTTCATAATAATCATGATGATAATAATAATAAATTTATAAATACTTTAACTATACAAGTATGTATATTGTTTTAATTGATTTTTTTATATTTTTTTAATGTAATAATAAGTTTAAAAGTGCGATTAATAATAAAATAATACATAGTAATTTTAAATGAAAGGTAAAATTTTGCTTTTAAAATTACACAAATTATTGTTAATTTTCTATAAATTTATTAAAGATTCTTAGTAAAATGACAAACAAAAATGTTTGTAATTTTATTCGTTGTTTGGTTTATTTATTTTAAACGTTATTTTTTTTTAATTTTGCAATTACAATTTATTTACAACTTCATTATTTTTTAAAATTCTAATTATTTACACTTGTTTTAATAAATAGTATTGAAATAATTGCTTTTAAATTAACCTTAGGGAGTTATATGTATAATAAATTTTGGTAATTATTTAAAATTTCTTATATTTTTTGCATTTAGAGTTATAAACAACAATTCGATAAATTGTTGTATAATTTTTATTTGAGTATTGCTTTGGTACTTTAGCCGAGTTTTAATTAAATATATTTAAGGAGTTTAAGCCTAGTTTAAATAAATAAAACTTAAATTAGTTATTAGTTTTGGTTATGCTGGCTGTATGTTTGGAGAGATATTTTTAAATAATCTCCTAACCCTATTTAAATTATGGTTTTAAAATGTGTTTGAGATCCGCCTTAAAAGCTGATTTTTATTAAAAATTATAATATCCTCTTGGTAATAATAATAAGAGATTTCCATAAATAAAACCAAAGGCATTTACGCTAGGGGTTCTAGTGACTAGAGAACACTCGACTATTCCTGTGAAATCTCAAAGGACTTTTCTAAAAAATAGTTTAATTGCTATTGACATGACTAAGAGAGGATGAAGGGAGTAAAAAAAAAACATTTTAATTTTACAACTATCCGTTTAAAATACTGTGCTTAAGTAAAGAATGTCACTCAGAATACCTAACGTTTTCACCTAAAGGTTTCTAGTCAGGCTTGCATTTTTTGTTCTTCAATTTGAAGGAGAGATTTGGGGCCGGATATTTGCCTAAAAACTATTTTTAAAAACTAAATTATATTTATTTTTAACAAAGTCAAAAAACTTTGTTCAATTTTTTACACATTTAATTGACACAATTTTGTACAAGAACATAAATTATAGAGAGAGTCAAAACTGTTTAGAGAGAGTGTAAAAGAGTTAACACTTTTAAGACTGTGTTTGTGTTTCCTCTTTCGCAGTTTTAATTAAGAGTTAAATCTTACGTCTAAATTTATTTTTGTTTTGTTTATAAAATTAAACGATATCGATAGAAATAGGTAAATAGATAACAGAAATAATTAGAATGATAGAAGATGAGAAAGAAATTGTAAAAAAATAACGAAATTTATCTAAGAGTAAATTTTAGAGTTAATATATACAAGAAAATCAATATTACAATTTATTATTTTAAAAGTTTGCTTTATTATTTTCATCAAAATTTAATTATATTATAGCCAAAATTGTTGGATTTTATTAATATTTATTTATTGCACCCTTATCCCACTGTGTGGCCGCCATTTTTTACTAAAAAAAAACATTGGTTCCACCTAATTGAACTAGTAAACAATTTTTTGTTGTTTTGTTTAAAATTCAAATGAAATTGAAATTTAGTTAAATAATAAATTAAAGTATGAAAGCCCATTATGAGAGAGGAACTGAAAGGTAGTAAGTAAATGAATGGATATCAAATTCGGTTATATATAAAATACAGTTGTTCCGTGGATAACTTTTTTGTAGGCACAGTTCTCTAACGGGAAAATATATGTGTCGAAATTTTCATATTTTTTAGCTTATTACTATAAAAATATTTACAAAATTATTTGGCGTTTTATTTGCTCCTTTAACGACTTTTTTTATATCATATGCCTCTCATAATGTACTATAAGTCAGTACAATAAAATAAACTAATGATTATTTTCCTCGCTTGAGCTTAAAATTAGTAAAATTTTGAAACAGTTTTTTGATAATTTGTACTGAGATTAGGATTTCAAATCGCTGGTAGGGATCTCAGAACAATTTCAAAAATATATATATTTTTTATTTTTCCAGTTCAGTACAAAAATGCGCATCATTTGAGACTTGTGCCTACGTCATATTCCCAATAACATTGTTCCTCGGGCATGCTTAGTATATCAATACAATTTTACAGTATTTTTTAAAGTAAATTTAAACTAAAATTTAAAATCTAAAAATAGAGTAATTTGAGATCAAAAATCGTTAAAAAAAATTAAGACTAGAGTTAATGTTAAGACAGACTTGTAAGACGTAAATAAATGGAGGAAGTGTAGAGATTGCTTAAAGAAGAGAAAATATAAAGATAGGTCGATATTAAAAGAAAGACAATAACGAAAGTACGAAGGTCTTAATGTTAAAGATTTATAAAACTAGACAACAGCATTGTTTTAAGACTAGAAATTACACTGGTAATTTACTCTTAAATTTAACTCGGAATGTTTGATGAGAAGTTTTGGAGCATATTTATTATTGTTAACAACATAAATTACTGCTGTTCCACAGCGACTAGTAATTTTTTTATCTATTTGTTTCATTTTGCTAAAAAAGAAAATTTTGGTTTCGAAAACTGGGTTTATAATTGGTTTAAAATTATAATTGACTAGTTATATACAATAAGAGAAAACAAAAATACTTGTATATTGAAATAAAATGCAACTCAAACTTAAATTAAGAAGAAGATTCTAATAATTGTAATTTTTTTTTTTAAATGACACAAGTAATTGACTGAATTGTTTATTGCAGATATTTTGCTATATTTAAATTGTATGTATATTGTATTGAAAAATTAACTGTATTGCTTTTGGGGATGTTTTATAGGTCTTCGATGTTTTTTGTTCTTTTCTAACTTTAAATGCTTAACTTTTATTTTCTAATATTGCTATATTTAGAGTAAATTCTTTTGGTTTTTTGGACTTATGGCCTAATTCGTTGTTTGAGAAACATTTGCTTTTCGTTGATTTAATATTTCAGATTTCACAATTTCAATATTCGTTGTTGTAATTTTTAAGAATACTTTTCTTGTTGCTGGAGAGAAAAAGATTTTCTTAAGATTTTTTCATGTAGAATGAAATGTGAAAGAGAGTATTTTGATGTACTTAAAAGTAAGATGAGATTGATGATAATTAAAGTGATAATGAGGGTGAGTAAAGAGTTGTGTGGTGAGTGAATGTAATGACTAGATACACTATAAATAGAGATTGCTTTTAAGTCGTTAGAGATTCTAAAAGATTGCTTTTTTAAGAGTCTTTTTTATGAGATTGCTTTTCCTTGATTCAAGAGCTCCAAACAGCTCTTAAGTTTGTGAGTTTTGCTTAAAATGAAATGGACGTATTATGATGTCTTGTGTTATTAAATGTGTTACAAATTATAAACTAATTTTAAATTAAATAAATAATTAAATTAGTATTTAATAAGTGTAGAACTAATTTTTCTTAATTTATATTGAACTAAAACTATAAGTATATAAAAATTAATATCTGGATGAATGTTTGTATTTGCTTTGTCTATATAAATATTGTCCTTTTTTCAATAATAAATTATTACAAATTTTTGTTAAACAAAATCGTAACTTTTTTCGTGTACTTTTAATATTGAATGAGTCTTAATGCATTTTTAATATTTTTCTTTAGATTAGATTAGACTTTCTTTAAAAACTACTTACAATATGTTTGTTGTTGTATTAATGTTTAACCCGCAAATGTGGCCTCTACTTTGACTACGGCCGCAGCTGGTACTGGCTGGGGTATGTGACTTATTTTAAAACCATTTTGTGCTTGTTGTGAGTAACTAGGAATATTGTAGTCCTCAGTGGGAGTAGGAGATGTCATGCCACCACTATCACTGGTACTATCGAATTGCATGTCTGCCTCATCCTTGAGACAGGCCGATTCCAAATGCTTATTGAGGTACGATTTCAAAGCGAAAGATTTATGGCAGCGTTTACACTCAAAGTTCTTGTCTATCGAATGTGTTTGCATATGAGCTCTTAAATTGGAACGATCCGCAAAGGCTTTTCCACAATGAGCACAACCGTAGGGTTTCTCGCCCGTGTGAGATCTCAAATGGCCTTGCAATAGCCAGGGACGCGAAAACAATTTGCCACATACACCACAACTGTGAGAAAGTTTGTGCGTTAGTACATGCATGGCTAAGGCTGGCATCGACACGTAAGCTTTGCCACAGGTGTGACACTTTTTGGCGGACTGTGAGTCTAATGAACGATGTGTTTGCTTGTGGCGCGATAGATTGCTTGAAGTGGCATATTGTTTACCACATTCACTGCAGGTATATTTCGCCTTTTGTTGTTCCTGCTGCAGTACCGCCTGAGGATCAGTAATGTTTTTGCGTTTCGATCGACCATCACTTACAAAGAACGCCTCATAGGTGTAGGCTACAGTTTTTACAGAGGCACCAACAGAATTTTTAGGAAATTGATTGGTTGTGTTGTTGTTTTCATTTTGTACACTGCCACCCGGCGAACTGGGATTCCTTTCACTATCGGAGTTACTTTGTAAACTGTGCATGGAAGAATTAGACCGGGGTCGATGCTCATTCGCTACACTAGCCGCCAAAGCCAAATCTGCTATGGAGGGTGTATTTGTGGCTACAGAGAGTGTTACATCCTGCAATTGGTGATGGGCAGGCAGATGATGATGTTGTTGTTGTTGCTGCTGCTGTTGTTGCAACTGAATAGCATGGGTTATATGATGCAAAGGATGTAAAGGCTGGTGAGTTAAATGATGTTGTGCTGGTGACTGTTGCTGCAACTGATGAGGCTGTGTGGGTGGATGAAACGCAGTGGATGCGCTAAGATCCAATATAGCATGAGCTGCATGTAAATCTTCCTCTGCCGGTTGTCGTAAACGCAAGCGTTCATTTGATGGTCTATCATCCAGCGAATATGGCCGATAAATATCTTTCTTCTTAGGGGGCAATGACAGTGCGGCCCCCGTACTCGTATAGCATTTGCGCGACTCGGTACTACTCCCTTCGATGTCATCGTTAAAAGCTATTTCGGTTTTAATGCGTATTATGGGCGGACTTAAACGTTCACTCGGCGAAGATAAACTGCTACTGCGTGTCGAGGGCGACGATGAAGGTGACGATGTGTTCGAGGGCGGAGGCGTTTGATAGTTGTAAGGATGAGGGGGGACTTGTTGTTGATGTAAATTTGAGGTGCTTGTTATAACGGTAACTTCGTTTTCCAAACGAGGCAGGTACGCGGTATAATGTAGAGGCGAAATATCATGATTATAACCTAAAAAGAAAAAAGGACATGCTGAATATTAAAAAAGGAAATTATTTGTTGAAATACTAACACAAATCGAGGGACTATATTCAATAGTATCTATCTCAAAAACACAATATTTTCTAGTTAAGTTTTCCAGTATTTTTTAAGTTTTATAGTATTTTTTCCAAAAAAAATTTCATACAACCAAAATATAGAGAGTTTTCCTTAGAAATATAAAAAATGTATTTTGATTTAATATCATGCAACTTTTATGCAATTTGATGGCGGAAAAGAAACAAATTTTTTAAAAAACACGACAATATGATATTTTAATGGAATTTTTTCAGCATCTCCAAAAAAAAAATTTTAAGATAGAAAATTTCAGAATGCTTTAAAATTGCCAAAAATAGGATTTTTTCGTTGAAATGTATATTAAGGATTTGGGATTGTTTGCCATCAAAATAAAAATGAGAGATAGTGACTTTTAAATATACATAGTCCCTCGATATTCTTTTTATGCCAGATGTTCGTAAACAAGCATACAACCATTTTGCCTGAAACCCAAGAAGCTTCTTTTATATAAATATTTCTATATTAAAATGCACTTGAATACCAACAAGTTGGAAACGTTTTGAATTAGCAGCGTGAAGTTTATTTTTCCCAGTTTTAGACCCACAAAAGTAATATAAAAATAAACTTAAATGGGAGAAATAGTGTAACAAGCAATTTTGTAAAACGTACATAATATCAACACAGCATTATAAATGCAAAAGCAAGAGACAAAATAAAAATATAATACAAATACCCACGCTGTAATAAGGGGGAGCCGGAAACTGAACAATATTTTCTAAAGGGGCTTGCTGCACATAACTCACTTCAGCAGCAGCAACGAAACAAAGCATAAGAAATCGAAACATTAAAAATGTCGCATTGCAGTTGTACTACATACAAAAAAGACTGTGGCAACTAAACACACGGCTGGAGACTAAGTGCGACAGTTAGTCAGTCAAAAAAAAAAAGATAAAATAAATAAATAAAAAAGACTAAAGTTTGGCTAAAAACTCCTTAAATGTAAAAGTGGTTACACAAATGTCCCTCGACACTTGTTTTTTTTTTTTGTTCTTATTATAGCTGTTGTTGTTATTCTTCTTAACACAAGCCTAACTTTTGTCATGAAACTTTTAACGGATGCAAACACAAAGTTCCTTTCCTCAATGTGTCAATGCGTATTTCTAGTATTCCATTATACATATTTATACATTTATGTATGTGTGTATATAGTACCCATAAATTTATTTATTTGGGGTTATAATGTTAGGATTCCTCTGTTTTTTTTTTTTTTTTTGTAATTTCGTAGAATAAGTATAATGATGAATTAAATGAAATATTTGGTCATAAAACACACAATCTTTGTAAATTTTAAGGTCAAAATGACTGGTACTATGATTAAAACAAGCAACTGGCATCAGAATAATATCAAGCATTTTTAAAAATATTAGAAAATAGAATAGAAATTAATAATAACCTAGCTAATTGTTTACTCTTAACTTTAAAATATTTTTTTCTTAAGTATACAAAACTTTAATCTCCTTTAGATTTTTTGTTTTATTTCATTGCCATAATAGTCGTTGCTTTAATTAAGCACTTGCATCACGAAAGGGTTGTTATAAAGATTTATGCCTGTGACATGTGTCACATTCTAGGTCATATTAACTTTTCCTATACCATATACCAACAGGCCCTGTTGCAGAAATTAAATAGTTTTTGGTGAGAACAGTATGGTGGGTGAAATACATACATACATACATATATTAAAAAATGATTTTAAGATAAAAAAATAAAAAATGTACTTTTATGTTGTTAGTTTGCAACACAGAAATATTTGGTTTAAAATTTATGACTTTAAGAGGGTACTATATTGTGTCTACGATTTTATAAAACCAGGGTTGGTCACTGTAAAATGTTGAAACCGACAAGTACAAAATTTAAAATAAATATTTAAAAACTAGAATGGTATTTACATATGTATGTACATATGTATATATGTATATCTGTTGATTTATTACTTAAAATTCTTAACCAATTATAATATTATTTAATTCAAACTTTGCCTACTGTTAGTAATATACAGCATAAATATTAAAAATTAATCTTAAATGACTTTTGATTAAATATCTTTTATATTTTTCTTACTTAAATACTTAAGGTTTTATTTAAAAAATAAACAACAACAAGAATGAATCGTTTGAAGACCTTGGGGTCTTTCAACACAACATAGAAAAACATAATAGTGAAATGCAAAAAAAAACTTGTATGTAGAAAAACATTTAAGTATGTATAAATACAATACATATTTACTTAGGAAATTCTATATGTAAATAAAAATGTTTATGTACAAGTATTCACGTGATGTGTATGGCTACAACATAAAAGGAAAAATATATACATACATATGTATGTATGTACTAAGGTATATGTACGTGTAGCAATAAGAAATAATGCTAAGAAAATAAAATAAATCTACGGATGTAATAAGAACAAAAAAATAAGTACATGTGAAATGCGAAAGAGTTGACGACGACTACAACGACAAGTTAGACTGTCTAGTATTCAGTCAAAACAACCAACATACAACCATTTATTCATTCATTCGAGCATAACAGACGTAGCAACGTAATACAGCACTTGAAATTCAAACACCCAACACCCAGTCGGGTTGGCTCAAAATTGTTGTCCTCATTCTAGCATTTTTGGTAAAAAAAATCTACTACTACAAATACAACCCCTCTAGTGACGAAAAATTCGCACACATACACATGTCTGTAGAAGCAACATGCTGACAACGCATTACAGCGTTCTTCTTGTTGTTTTTCCTTTATTTCCTGTTAAAAAAATATGTTTGGAAGTACATGTTTGTGTCAGTTGTTTGTATATCCTATTAACAGTTGATTTGTTTGCGACGGTATTATTACGCTTAAATTCACTAAAGTTTTCCCTTTTTAGCCTTTTCCGTCATATGGAGGAAGATTTTTATTTATGAATCCTTTGAAAGGGTTAGGGTGGCTCTTGGCACACACTCTTATGTCGCTTCAGTCAAAAGTCATTGACTAAATTGAAAACATATTTTTTCTGTTTTGCAGCAAAAAAATCATAAGATTGCCTAAATATTTTACAAAAATTTTTATTTAAAACAATTATATGAAAAAAACCTTTAGAAAACTTTTTTCTAGGAAATAAATTTTAAAAGCCTCGAAGGTTTAAACAACTAAATAAAAGAAATCTCTCTCCGCACACAAGTAGCAATTTGTATAAACTCACTGGAAAAAAATATATACATATATTGCAGAAATTTAAATTTTTTTCCTAAATTGTTGAAAATGGAAACGGAAATGCGTGTTTTTCTGAGACAGTAATAAAAATAACAGTTGATCAGAATGAAAATTAAGTCAAACAATAAAACACGACAACTTACAGATGGAAATCAATTACTTAGAAAATAATAAAGCAGGAATAAGATTCAAAATAGAAGTACATAGTTAAATTACGTTTCAAAGTCAAAGTAAAAAACAAAATTTTAAAATATGTTATTACTAAATATTTCAAAAAAAAAAAATAATTGTCGGAAACTTCCAATTCAATATTTAAGATCATAAGTAAAGAAACAAATATTGGGAAATTAAATTTAATATTAAAAAATTTTCAGTGTGTTTTTATACAACTACTAGCAATTACTTATCCACTGAACAAAATATCAATATATTTAACTTTAATCAGGTGTAAATTTTTTTCTAGTGAACAAGTTGGGCAAAAAATTTTCTTTTAAATTTTTTCAAGCTTAATGACTTTCTCTGTACATTTTTTAGGTAATTTTAGTAGATCCTTTTTATGGTTATATATTTAGTGGTTTCTGTTGGATAGTACTTAAGAGTCCTCTTTCTTGTTAATGACTTTAAGTTGAATTGTATGTATAAATGTATTTGTGTTAGTTTAAGAGGTTGTATTTGTGTTAGAGGTTGCCTAGTTTCTAAACTTTACACCAACACGCAAACACACATAATACACATTGTTTGATTTTAATGTTGGTTACACTTTCAAGACAGTAGCTGTTTCTTTTCTGCTTCTGGTTATGTTGGTTTTTAACCTAAGGCCATTTCATTGTAATTAACTTAGCCATAGAAAGAATCGCCTTAATATTATTACTGCTGCTACTATTTTTTATTATTGTTATTATTAATATTTGTTTTGAACGTAAAACCCATCGCACACAGTCATTAATATGAATTATTGATTTTAGAAATTTATACTTATAATTATCATTAACAATAAAAACAACCGATATACATAGGATTTAACAGGCGAAAAATGAAAACTTTTTAAATATTTAATTTTGAATACATACATATGTATGTATATTTTTTGAATTAATAATTACATGTTGTTAAAAATAAACCATTGAAATCAATAAAAACAATTTAGGATAAAAATAAGGGGCAAACTAGTATATTTTGCATATAAAAAGTAAGAATTATATAAAACTTAAACAAAAATTGTTTCCAATAATCATAGTTAAGTTTAAAGCTACGTTCGCAATGATTATATTACTTTTTTTGTTGGTCATTTAAAGTTTTTTACAACCAAGTTCAAAGATTTTTTTAGAAAAATCATAATATTGGTTTTATGATAGAAATGAATAAACTACCTTTTGAATATATCCTTCAATAAAACTCGTAAAAATTTGGGTAATTTATCCTATTTTATCAACCACATTCATAAAATATCAAATTTTAGCCTTTGCCCTTTGTATAACATTTCTTAAACTGTTCAAAAAATTGTTGGAAGAAGTTTAAACTCACCATTATATAAATTAGTGGTACCACGTGTAGCTGCTTCTGGTGAATGTGGAGGAGGACTAGGAGCTGTAGCTCCAGCCGTTGGAGATGAGGGTCCCCAACACGTTGCTGTAGTAGACGATTTTGATGACGACGAAGTGGATGCTGATGATGTTGAGGATGTCGTCGTTGATAATGTGGAGGGAGTTGCAGCGGTAGATGTTGAATTATTTGTAGTGGTTTGCGTATTTGACAATTTTAAATCACTAGATTTAATAATGACCGTAGCAGAAGCAGTAGTAGTTGTATTTGCTGTGGCATTTACCAAAATATTATCACCCACAACATCGATTTCTTCATCTTCATCGATGGTCGATCGACGAGATTTTGTTTCAATATCCTTCTTTGGTATTAACTGTATGCTTAGTTCCGGTGTTGTGGAACTAGGTGAAGATGATGCTACTTGTGTAGGTGCAGCTGATGAATTATTAGTTTTATCCTCGGACCTGTCGGGCCAGGGATAGGCCTTCCATTTCTTAGCCATTAAACAGCGTGGCATTTTCTTTTAAGTACTCCGAGTATTTTGAAATAAAATTAAAAAGGAAGCGGAAGATTTTCTTGTTGTTTTTTTTGTAATAGTGGAGTTTATAGGAGATTAGGGAAAATAAGTTTTAGTTTTTAAATTTCCGCACGAGCAAAAGTTTTTTATTACAGATAAATAATATTTATAACGAAGTAAAAAAATAATGTTGTTAATTCATTAGGCAGATTAATATTTTTGTTTTTTTGATTATTATTGTTGTTGACTTTTGTTGTTAACTTAATGCAGATGTAGTTTTATATATTTTCGTTGTAGAGATTTTGTTATAAAAAAAGTTAAGGGCTCGTCGAAATCTATTTTTATGTTTAGACTTTTATGTTTTCATTTTCTTGGGGTTTGTTTATTATAGTTCTTCACTTTAAAATAAAATAGTTTCTTTAAAAACAAAATTGTGTTATTGTGTTGCCACTGAAAGAATGCATTGCAACATTATTGATTTTTATAGTTTTCTTTTATCGTTTATTTTTTCGAGGTTTTCAGCTTTTAGATTTATAGAGTCTCCGGAAGCAAATTTATAATTGCTTTAATTTAAAAACCTTATTTTTATTTTTAAGTTTTATACAATAAAATCAACACTCTTAAACAAGGCCGGAAGTTTTTGTTAAACATTTACTTTTCTTTTGCGATTACACTTTGTTTTTTTATGTTTAATATTTTTAATTCAATTTGTTTTTGTGAATTAAAATAATATAAATTTGTAACGTAGTTTTAAATTTAAAAGTTGTAAATTTGTGGAAATAGAAAGTAAAGTTAGTTGTATTGTATGATTGAAAGTTAAAGGTGAAAAAAGTTTAAACTTAAGGATCCGTTCAAAGAGAATATTATATAAGAAAGAGAGTATAGAAATGCGAACCGAACGTAAGCAACCCTTGGAGGTTAATGAAAACACCAACGGTTACTGTCAGCCCTTATATAGTCCTCCGACAAAGACAGCACCACATCAGCTCTTCTAGCCATACAACAACTGGAACTGAAACACGTCAAAGCTATAGGAACACAATGATAAACTGTTTCTCTTGTTGGCTGTTTTCTGTTTGCGAGTGTTTCAAAACAACCCTTATTTCAGTTGCTCAGAAAAGTTTCAGGGCGAATTCGTAAACAAAACACAAGCAAAGCAACTTATAGCGAATTGTTGAATGATACTCATACTACGAGGGTATATTGATGGGCTGACTGAATGACTATTTCACAGGCTCTCTGTTTTGTTCATAACTCGTGCTACACACAACAGACAGACTGTTGCTGCTTTTAATAAACAATAACGTAATGATAGAAATTTGTTGCTGCTGGATTTTTTGCTTTGTCTCATTTTCTGGCAAAAAGACATGTGCGGTGAGTACGGAAATCAATGCTATAAGTCCTGCAATTATTTGAGAATAAAACCAACAAGGAATTGAATCACATGTTTTGGAACATTTGCGGTATATGGTATATTTTTATTAGTTTGGAAAGGAAACAAAATCATAAAAGCAACAATCAGGAAATATCCAAAATATACATAAACATTGAAAAATTTGTTACCTACCTTTAATTAATTTCGCTGGTTATTTACATATTTACTTCAAGATAATGTACGATTGGCCGTTTTATTCCATACTTTTAAAAAATAAATAACCGTTTTTCCTGTTCCACATCCCATTTCGTACCATTTCCTATAATTTCCCCTCTTATCCTTAATTACAGACAGTAAAGCATGTAACAAGTTACATATACCATTCTAAATTACTTTCTACCTTATTATAGCATTTCATACCACATTACTCCTCCATACCCTTAAGGATCTCGTGTTTTATGGCAGAGTGAAACCAATGAGATATGAAACACTTAAAGTAATGTCCTTTTAAAACCCTTTAGGGAATAATGTAACACTTGAGATTCCTTAACAATTGTATACTAAGCAATTAAATTTTAGCCTATGGCCATAAACAAACTCCCTCATCGTCTCCCTCCTAATGCCAACACTTTTAAAATGTATATTGTTTGTACATGTCCCTCTAAGAAAATTAAAAAGTTTTCTATTTCAGCCAAAACTTTAAGAAAAACTGTTGCATGTGTTGTTTTTTCTACAATCATCCTGTGAGTGTGTGTTTGTTAGACTGTGTGTACTGTAGTAGTATTTGTTATATTATTCATAATTTTTTGTTTTTTCTATCTGAAACATGCAACATTTAAATTAAATGAATTTGTTTGTATTTTTATTACACAGTGTGCCAGTTTGTTTTATCCTTTCTTCCTGCGTTATCAAACTAAAAGAAAAATATTAGAGAGGGAGGAAAATATGAACTTTAAGTGTCATGATTTTATTATACTCCCTGCAGTGAAAACGAATGTAAACTAGATATTATATAAAGCTTGTGACTTTATACTAAGAAGCAAGTTTAAAGTCGACTAGGACTGCCAAAAATCATATTTAGTGAAAATCTGACCTATTTAACCTTTAATTAGTGAATATTAGTATCGCTATAAAATTCAACATAAATAACCTTAATCCATTTGCCAAATTTTATTAGGATTAATAAAACAAAAAAAGATTTTTTGTTTTTAAAATAAATGGCATTGGTCGCAAATCAGAATAAATATATAAAATGTTTCCTTTATTTAAAAAATCATGACTTGATTATATAATTTTTAAAAATATGCAATTCCAAATAGTACGATTTATGCCGTATAGATTATAAAATAGTTGATCATTTGTAGCATATCCTTTAATATTTTTAAACTTCGTAAAATTCTCATTTTTATTGCTTTCGTTTTTTTAAATTTTTGTGTTTTAGTTTTTTTAATATAAAACACATACATATATAGTACATATTATTTCTTAACAAAACTTTCGTATCTACCTTTGGGGATCGGTGTGAAAAGAAGCTGCACTCGCACAATGTTTAATGAAAATTACGAAAAAAAAAAACAGTATCAAATATATTAAGCTTAAAAGATTTTCCATCCGAGAAAATGTTAAAAAAGTTTTCATCTTTCCTCCCTTGACTGCAAAACAAAAATAAACTTTGTTTTTCAAAACATCGTGAATTTCTCAGTTTTATTTCAAAAGCTGGAAATATTTTTGTGGTAAAAAAGGTGGAAAAAGTGCAGGATGTTTTTGTACAAAAATGTTTTCTCTTGCATCGAAAAAACACAAAATCAAATAAAATAATATGCGGACCAAGAGACACTAAGTTCTTTTATCCGAATTGAACGAGTGTTGTTCTGTATTTTGAATGTGTTATAAACAGGATAACCAGAAATATGATATAATTTTTTTTTCAATGACATAAAAGCAAATTTATGGGCTTTTGCCATAAAAGTTACTGAAGTTACTTAATTAAATTTTATTTAACATTCAATATATCGAAGGACTATATTTAATAGTCCCTATCTTAAATAACACAAGTTTTCAGGAGAGCAAAAAAAAACAGTTTATTTCACTCGTTCGTAAAGATTTTTAAATTTTTTCTTCTACAATATTTTCTATGTCCATATCTTAGAATTTAAAATTTTGAATTATTTACAAATTTATTACAGAGAGAGAGCTTATTTTTTACGAAAATTTACATACACTAACAGATAGAGAGTTTTTCTTAGAAATATGAAAATTTTATTTTGATTTAATATCAATATATGTACATTATACATATATTATATTTTATTCAATAAATAAAATTAAAATGTTAAAAAAGTACTAAAATATGATGTTTTTGTCCAAAATCGAAATCGTCCAAAACGAGAGATAGCGGCAATTGAAGTTAGTCCCTCGATATACAGGTAATATGTAATTTTAATGTAAAGTTATTTAAAAATATTTTCTAAAAATTATTCAGAAGCTTCAATGAATGAAGTGATTAATACAATTAGAAAAATATAAAAAGTTTTCCAAATTGACGTAAAAAATTGATTTTCATTATCAGAACAGTATTGGATATAAAGTATGCTGTGGTATTTTACCGCCCAAAATTATATATAACCCTTTCGTACATAAATACATATGTTGCAGATGAGAAAATCTAATTATTTAAGTAATTTATTAAAAGCTCTAGTTATTCTATGTAGTATATAATTTATCTAATTAACAACATTTCTTCTAATAAAACTGTTCAGTTGTTTGATCTGTTAAAAATCCAGTTTATTAATAATTTATAACCAATGAGTTAAAACTTGTAAAAAGAAACAAAAGCCTCAAAATGCATTATTGTTGTAACAGTCTAAAATCAAACATTTTAGTGTAACAAAGGCGTCCAAATGAATTTCGTTATTTGCCCTCTGAATTATTCATAAAATTTAACCCGCACTTTAAATGCAGAGCTGAGTAGCAAAAATATTCAGCAGAATAAAAAAACAAACGACCCATAAAAAGAGCTTTGTATGGAAATGCATTTCAAAAAATCAAACCAAAATCATTGACAGTACACTGAGAGAAAACTTATATAAGGTTTAACAGAAAAGCAATTAAACGCTGCAAAGATAACTTTTAAAATGTTTTATTTATTCTATTGACTTCATATACCCATTTAAAACTACTTTAATGTGCTAATTCTGAATCATTATTTTTATCTAAGTGTTTCATCATCACCCTTCTGCCTTCTTTAACAGAAGTCTCTAACTTAGTAACAACACACTATTATTACCGCCCTTTACGATTTGAATACAAATAAAGTTTGTGAAGAAAAAACGAAAATAATAAAAAATTTACTGGCTACAGTTTAAAATTGCATCGAAAATCAACAAATTGCTGTAGAAACACGAGCAATTGTAAATATCAAAGTATGACTTCAGGCGTTTTGCATGTACATGTGTGTAAGTATCATCTATATGAGTGAGCTCATTCATTCATTTATTTAAACTTGTCTGTGTTTATGAGAATATGTATGTTTTTATTCCCTACACTACTATAGAGGGGAGGGTATTATGCATTTGTGCTGATGTTTGTAACACCCAAAAATGTTGGTGCTTCACCCCAGAATCACTATCTATAGGGCTCTTGAGCTCATAATTATGTTAAATGTTCTAGTATCTCTACTAAAATCAGCAACACTTAGTTTTATATAAGTCTGAACTATAATGCCGATTTTCGTAATGATCGTCCTCATTTGACATAGCCCCCATACAAGGTCCCCTTCCGAAAATGACCTGAAGGTCAAAATTCACTTATAAATACTAATATCACTATGAAATTCTGCAAAAATTTATAAGGACAGGTCCATATTTACACTTGCCCCCCACATAACCCCTCTTTTAAAAAATCTCTTTTTTTTGTCAACAAATTGTTAAAATATTTCGGAATTATGGATAAACAAATTAAATGCCCCAGCAAAAATAAAACGAAGTACTTCCAAAAGAATTTTTTTACCTTCTGAGGAAGTAATATTTAAAGACTTCCGAAGAAGAGAAAACAATTCTATTTTTTCAATGTTGAAGAAATATTTTTAGTTCTTACATTTTTATTAGATAAAAAATGTTATATTTGGGTTTTTGTATTAAATGTTTTTATTACCCTAATTAATGTTAATATTATTTAAGTCAAATTAGTTGCATTCTATAATACTACAATTTCACTTCCGAATAACTTCCAAAAAAGTGCATTAAAATTACTTCTTAAGAATGACTTCAGTTGTAGTGAATTTGGAATCTAATAAAAAGGACATCCTCCTATGACAAGCCTGTGTTAAAATCATCACTTCTTCAGGTCTTTTTCAGTACTTACATGGAGTAAAGTTCTTTTTTGCTGGGTGCTTTATTATTAAAAAATAATCCAAATTTTTATAAGATATCATATGGTCGGCCATGACCGACTATACATTCTTATTTTTTGTTATTGCTGTTGTTGTTGTTTTACATCCACAAATAACGGTATACATCAAATGAATTTACCA